TTCAGGCCGCAGGTACGCAAGGACAGTAGCGCCGCGTTTTCGGGTAACTGGCGCTGCAATTGGGGAGACTCCGCGCATCATGCAGATAATTGTAGCGGCATATGAGCCCCCCCATAGTGTTCCTATTCTTTCCTCCTGTACTCGTGTTTTCCGTAACCTCCTCCAGTGCCGGAAAGTCGTTCCCGGGGTGCGGCCTCCAGTAGACGCCCAATTCACAGTCGTCGCAGCCGAACACCGAACGCAGCTCTTCGCAGTTGTTGAGCGACGAAAACTGCAAAGCCTCCGGGCTGCAGCGCAGACCTGCCTGTGAACAAACAGCCTCACAGGAAAGACCAAAACTAGGACTGGGAATCTTCCGCATAAAGGGCAATGTGCGGTTGCGACGCTTCTTGTCTTCAGAAGAGAGGTGCTGTACGTATGCCCTCTCGCAGTAACGCTGCATCCACACGTGCGTGAGAGGGGAGATGAAGGAGCCCCCTTCTGTGGACTGGTTGCCGCCAAATGTGACGTTGTCTAAAACGACAGGATGCGCGCCTGACACAATACCCTCGCGCTGCATTTCTTGTGCTTTCATGTAGTATTCGCCCTTCTTGTGCACCTCTTCCTCATACAGAGTCCACCAGTGCAAGTATGTGAAACCGTATTCCTTTTTCCCAAGCGCGGTGTGCAGGTTTGGCAGATGCCTGTTGAACCACGGCTTTACGATGCCGCGCAGATGGACGGCAACAATCGGATCCTCTCCTGGAGACTCCCTATCCAGCCGGTAGCGGGGATTAAGATTGCGGCTGTACTTGCTACTGATAGGATGGTACCTTCTTTCAAAGACGTCGCGCAACAGAACCCCGTCTCGGGCTCCTGATCCAAGATACTTGCGGCCGTCTGGTGGAGTCCCATGAATAAAAGTCTCGTAAATGCAGTTGAACATTTCCTGAGTTGGGACTATGACCATCATGCCAGTTTGGAAGTATCCTTTCCCCCCAATAGCGCCGACATGATCTGGTCTTTGCACCTCGGGCTTTGAGAAGAGTTTGTCCATGCTCCGCACTGCGATCATATCAGCATCCATGAAAACGACCTTTTCGTACATGGTAAGGTTGAACATGTAAATCTTGTCAAAGGTGTCGCGGAAGATGCCGGAATTCGATGGAATACGGTACGCCAAGGAGGGAACCTCAAACACATGGTTGTATGTCCCTTCCCGAAGCAAACGCCTCTTGGAGGCTTCACTCACACGCTTCTCTGTGATGATGACCACCAAATCCGCCACGCCCTCCTGGAGGAATGAGGAGGTCTTACGCAGCGACACACCAAGCACCAAGGCACCATCAACGAACTCCTCGTTTGAGATGCATGTGAGGTATGCGATGGGCGCGTGTAGTCGTTGCGGTATTTGGGGAACGCCCACCGCAGCCATTGCGCAAGACCCCTCCGGCCGACGCCACTCACTGCGGCGATCAAAATTGAACTTTGTTTCCCGCCTGTACCCCGATGCCACTAATCTTTGCAACACCGACTCACGTGAGGGACCACCTTCCTCCTGTGGTGCCTGGTCACTTCGCACGGGGCCATGCACCACCGTGACCGCCACCCGGGGCTCCACAAGGGAGACGGCGGCATACACGAGGAGCACCCACGCTACGGCAACGGTGATAAACGCAAGCAGCAGCAATGGCCTTCTGCGCCTCCGTACCACCCGCCGCATGCACTCGCCGCCGCTATTGCTACTGCCACCACCAAATCCTTTGGGGGATTAGTAGAAGCTCCAAGTCTCTCCTCACCCAGATGCACCAAGCGAGGGAGGGAGAGAGAGAGAGAGAGAGAGAGAGAACAAAAGCAGGGGAAGGATTTGGGAGGAATCCATCCTTACAGAAGGAAAACAACACTGACGGAAAAGCTGCGTATCGATTCCAATACCCCCGCATGCTAAAGCGGGTGCTCTACCACTTGAGCTACACCCCCATGGACTTTCTCTTTCTCCTCCTCCTTCTCCCCTCCCCCCCCAAAGCCCAGTCAGTCACCAAGGAATCGCAACGAACGAAAAACACACACACACACACAGTCACCCCCCACATCCTCTCTCCTTCTCTGTCTCACCATATGGCAGAAAACGAACAGTAACAACAACAGCGTCACCGCATTTATTACCCACAGCTAAAGTCCTACTGCCACCGCGGCAATTCGCTCTCCGTTTCCCACCTTCCCCCCCCATGTGCCGATTACCAGGCGTCGTCCTCCATACCACCGCCGTACGTGTCCCACCGACCAGTGCCACCCTTCTTGTGCTTGTCCCGATGCTTGATGAGGCGCTGGTCCATCTTGTAGTCCACACGCTCCAGCCCGAGCGCGGGGTCCTTCATCGGCTCGCGCTGCCCCCTGCCGCCCTTGCGCCTCCCCTTCTTGTCCGTCACGTGTTGGCGCCGCCGCGTGCCGCCATCTTCCGAATCCGCCCCTTCGGCCTCGTCGCCCTCGATACTCAACATGTTCTTCGCCCGCTGCCGCGCCATCGCCTCCTCGGGTGTGAGCTCCAGCTTCGCCAGCTCCTCTCCGGTGAGCAGCTCATTGGCGGACTTCACCTTGAACATTACCTTAGCCGCGTTGAGGGCGTTGTTGCTGGCGCCCAATCCCTGAAAGGTGCGTGCAACCCACAGCGGCAGCTCCTCGCGGTACATCTTCTTCCAGTCCTTGCGCCCTTCGCTGTTTGTCAGCGCGAAGTTAAGCGTCTGCCGTGCCGCGTCGATGTGACTTTCCTCCCAGACGAGGCGGTGGTACTGCACATTCCAGTAGCGCTGCATGAGGCCCGTTCCTGTCGAACTGGCTGCCAGAGCATCACGCACATCACGGCACAGCGACTCCAGCAGGCAGACGGTGGCCGGCTTGCTACACGACGCAATGACTTCCCACGCAAATAGCCAATCCCGCAGCGGCACCCGCCTCTGTTTTTTCGCGCCCGCGTCTTCCATCTCGCCAAATCCGCCGAACACTACCACTACACCCACACCCTCTTTCTGCTGATGTTGACAGGACTACCGAGCAGGGAAGCGTTGCGGCCGAAGAAAGAACGACGATAAAGGTTCCCCTCTTTCACACCCCCTCCCCTTCTTGATTTCCCTTTTTTTCTTTTTCTTGGAAACACACACACACACACACACACACTAATAGTAACGTTCTCACTACTACTAGCGGTGATAGCCGTAATGTCGACCCCAATAACAATACCTATATAGCCCGATCCTTCTCGTTTCTCCTTTAAAAAAAAAAAAATTCCCTTCGCGAAGAAAAGAAGTGACACGCCTGAGTTTGTGCCCTTTATTGTTATTATTGTCCCGCTGGCGAAGATCGACCTTGTCCTTGGACGCACCCTTGGCCCTTGTGCGTGGGAACACACACACACACACACACACACACACAACACGAAGGGCAAAAGGCATCAAGAGAGACAAAAGAGAAAAGAAAAACACGCCTTCGTCGACAGCAGCAGCGCAGACACGAGACTGAGGGAGATGGGGCGATGCGGCGTGCGCGGGTAGGTGGGCGGAGGGCGGGGGGCGCAAGGGCCCCACACCTTCGCGCAGTCCCCTCCTCCTTCTCCTCCTCCACGGCGCACCCGTCCCCCGTTGTCCTGCTTCCTTCTCTCGGCGTGGGCGGGCAGACTCCTACAAACATCAAACACAAAAAAAGGCCGCTGTTTAAACAGCGGCGGGCACCACACGCGAGGGCGCGTGCCCATCACTCCTTACCTCTGTTCTCACTGCACAATCAACGACACCATCATCCCCTCGACCTTATCCATGCGCTGCGCCGTCAGCGTGCGGAGCTCCTGCAGCTGCAGCTCCGTCTCACGGGCGAGGGTCACATTCTCCACGTCGGCGCCACTGAGCTGCTGCACCTTGTACTGCTCGTACTCCTGCTCCTTCTCGCGCCTGAAGGCCGCCACCTCTTGCTCCGCGTCCACTTTTGCCTGCTTCACCTTTGCCTGCTTGCGCGCCTTCGCGTCCGCGATAATTTTGTTTCGCTTCTGCTCCGCTGCGAGGAGCCGCTGGACGTTGTCTTGCTTCGGTGGCATGCCCGTGTATTACGTGCTGATTCTGCGCACTGCCTCTTTGGGTTCTTCCCTCTCCGCGGTATTGCACGAACACGCATACACACAGCGAAAAAGAGATAGATAGATAGAGAGAGAAGCAACAGAGGACAAAAGAGGTAGATACGAAGAGAAGCACAATGCACCCCCCACATACACAACACAGGATCCCAGTACTACTACCCCTCGTACTGGTAGTAAACATATTAATAATGATAGATGTAAGAGCTACACACTTTCTTGAAGGCGACGCAACAGGAAGAAGGGCCGTGTTGAATGGATGAGAGAAGATGCTGCCAGAAAGGCCCTTATACGTATATGTATATATATATATATA